CCCCAAAACCCCAAAACCCCAAAACCCCAAAACCCCAAAACCCCTTGACCCTAATAACTGGATGAATTTATTAGAATATTTCATAACAAAATGGAAGATACCAATAAGGAGGAAAGCAAGATCATAAAGACTAAAATAAATGACGAATATAATAAATTTGATGTCTTTGGTAGTGTCTTTACACTCCCTGCAAGATATGAGGTCACCAAACCTCTCGGTTCAGGCGCCTATGGCTGTGTAGTTCAGGCAGAGGATAAGAAGAAGAAATTAGTCGCGATTAAATAAGATGGAGAGAACTTTTGAACATGCATTGTTTGCTAAAAGAACTCTCAGGGAGCTTAAGATTCTCCGTTTGTTACATCATGAAAATATCATTGAGCTTAAGACTATTGTCAAGCCGAAGAAAAGTAACTTCGACGATATTTATGCTGTTTTTGAATTGATGGAGACAGATTTAGGAACGATCATTAAATCAAAGCAGGAGCTTTCACTCGATCACATTCAATTCTTTCTGTATCAAATCTTAAGAGGAATGAAATACTGCCACAGCGCAGGGATTTTGCATAGAGATCTCAAGCCTAAGAATTTACTAGTAAATAGTAATTGTGATCTGAAAATATGAGATTTTGGATTATCAAGAGCAGATATTCCCTCTTTATATGAAACTGGGGCGATGACTGATTATATCTCTACAAGATGGTATAGAGCTCCAGAGCTCCTCTTTGGGTCAGAATATTATACCGCAGCTGTAGACATGTGGTCAATTGGATGTATTTTCGCAGAACTATTAACCAGAACATCATTTCTACCAGGAACAGATACTGAAAATCAACTAGAGTTAATAATAGAGATGATCGGAGTTCCAGAGAGAAAAACAATTGAGAAGTTCTGAGGTGGCGATGTTCCTGAATTCTTCTCCAAAACCCCACCCTCCACAAGTGAAGAGACTAAGGAATTTACAAAAAGGTTCAAAGATGTTGATGAAACAGCATTAGATTTGTTGAAGCAAATGTTGGCCTTCGATCCTGGTGAAAGAATCTCTGTAGAAAATGCCATCAAGCACGACTTCTTCCACGATTTGCATTGTGAGGAAGATGAACCCACTACCCAACCAGTCGATTCGTTTGATTTCGATTTTGAAAAATATGATCTAACTATTGAAGAGACCAAGCAGGAGATTTATGAAGAAATCGCTTTATATCACTCTTCAAAAGCTCAAAAAAAGTATATCAGCAACAGAAAAGAATATCCTGAAGGAATGCTCCATGTAAAATATGATAGGCTGACTTCTCATGTGGACGTTGCAAGGCAAAGAAAGAGGCCTAAGAAGAAAAAGTCGAAGAAAATATCAAGTACCAAATTAAAAGTATAACATTTCTCTCAATAATATTCCTAAGTTGGGGTTTTGGGGTTTTGGGGTTTTGGGGTTTTGGGGTTTTGGGG